GACAGCAGTGACAGCAGTGACAGTAGTGATAGCAGTGACAGCAGCGACAGCAGTGACAGCAGTGATAGCAGCGACAGCAGTGACAGCAGTGATAGCAGTGACAGTAGCGATAGCAGTGACAGCAGTGATAGCAGTAGCAGCAGTGACAGTAGTGACAGCAGTGACAGTGATAGCAAATCAGATAGCAGTGACAGTAGTGACAGTGATAGTAAATCAGACAGTAGTGATAGCAGTGACAGTAGTGATAGTGATAGTAAATCAGATAGCAGTGACAGTAGTGGCAACAGTGACAGTAAATCAGACAGCAGTGACAGCAGCAATAGTAGTGATAGCAGTAAAAGCAGTGACAGTAGTGATAGCAGCGACAGCAGCGATAGTAGTGACAGCAGTGACAGTAGTGATAGTGGTGACAGCAGTGACAGCAGTGACAGCAGCGATAGCAGCGACAGCAGTGACAACAGCGACAGCAGCAACAGCAGTGATAGTAGTGACAGTGACAGCAGTGACAGCAGCGACAGCAGTGACAGTAGTGACAGCAGCGACAGCAGTGAAAGCAGTGACAGTGACAGCAGTGATGACAGTACTTCTGAGAGTAGTGATGAGAGTGACAACAAGAGCAAATCTGGTCATGGGAACAGCAATGGAAGTGACAGTGACAGTGACAGTGAAGGCAGTGACAGTAATCACTCAACCAGTGATGATTAGAACCAAAAGAAACTCCGCACAAGATTCCTTTGTGAAAAGTTTGATGAGTAATTGATAAGAAATCAAGACTTCCAAGAAAGTACAGAAAGAGTAAGAAAAAAAACGAAAAACAATGATCGAAAACATGTTTGGGTGTGTATGAGCCAAGAAACAGCTTGAAGAATCAAATCAAATATTAGCTTTGGCTTTAAGTTCCAGCTCCCTCAGAGAGAGAATCAGAATGCATGACCTCTGGTATATGCATGCTAAAATATATTCATATTACGAATATAATTCATTAAAAGTATAGCTATAGAAGAACCATCAGAAGCATTCTTTTATACTTTACACAGAAGTCTCAAGTGGGCTCTTGCTACATGATAATTTCACTTCAAATGCGCCATGCTTTAGAAAATGTGGCAAGCAAACACGTCTTAAAGCAACCATGGCATTCCCTTAATTCTCCAGTCATTATTTATTCTGGAGAGGTCATCTGCCTACTGCCGAGCACACGATGTGGTTATGTTGATATGCTTGCAGCTTGGTATGGGTTCTTTTGAGTATTCTGATGGAGGGCTTGCTTATTCAGCGGGAAAAAATCACAGAAACGTTTTAACCCATATGGGCCACACGAAAAAGCTTTATAAAAACTAAAATAATCCTAAATAATGGAAAATTTAGAGTGCTCACCAGAAAAGAATCCTGAGACTGGTTTGGACCATAAAAAGCTACATCACTGCAAGTCCCTGGAAATTCAGCACACAGTCGCTGCAACTATTGGTCAGTTTCAAGTGGTGCTGAGGACAGCGCCTTGTTTGTAGTAGACCTTCCCTAAATATTAATCAAGAAATGAGAGGCTCCGAGGGAAGGTTCACTTGTTGAGCTTGAGGTTAATTCTTTGTTCAGAACTCTGCTACGTGATAGCAGTTCCTTGCCATCCACTTTTTGAGAGGCATGCATGCTGCTAAAATCTACAGAACATTCAGCTTCCGCATAAATAAGTAAACTCCTTGTTCTAGGAATTCATTAGTTCTACACCACAAGCAAAGACATATGATAACAAAGCATGCTATTTATTTAATACGGTGAAAATATAATTTATCACCCAACTAGTTTATAGGGATCAAGACAGGCCTTTCGATTCTTGTAAAGAGTTATAGTCTTTATACCCCCTTACCCCCAGGGGCAAGGCTACCCTGTCCTGTAGGGTCGCTCTGTGTCAGCATGGACGGGGGGCAGGGAGGGAGGGAGAGTGTGGCCGGTATTACACTGTGACAGGAAGAATCATTGGGAGTTGTTCCAGGCAAAGTGGGAGGTACAATGGCCATAATCTATAGGATATTTTAAAATATGATAGAATGGTGATGATTTATAAGTTCCCTCTTTCCCCACTTAATGCAATTACCTTACTTCTTTTTCTAATTGAAAGGTAAAAGCTCTATAATGGAGTTATGAATGAAACTTCTTTAATATTAATTTAGCCAGGTTAGAGTTGACAATTTATATTCAGGCATACACACACACAAAAAAATTCCAGCAGGCATTTTCCTGTCTGCTTCCTTCTTCATGCAAGGGTTTTGTTAGTTAAGAGATCGACATGGAGTTGTATGAGCCCCTAATAAAATGATTTAAAAAAAAGAGAGAGAGATCGACATGACCAAGGATACCGATGAAGACTTCAAAGATATTTTCTTCAGCAACAACTTGCTAACTCATAAAGCCATAACATCCAGGCTTTTTGCTACATCCCAGGTATGCAAATGAATCTAAACCTGTCTACTTAAAATATGCCCCAGGTTTTTTTGTTTTTTTTTCTTTTACCTCTTTTAAGCTTCCTTTTAGTTTGGTCCTGTTTTCTAATGTATGAACTGCAGCTTACAGTACCTGTCTCACCTATTTCAAGAGAGCTATTCTGAGCACGAGGTCAGGCAATGGATGTGAAACTCTATGTAAACTATACAACATCTGTAAATGAGAGAGATACATTTTTGTGTTATAATAAACATTTATTTATGTGATTGCCTATGAGGAAATTCCCTTTATCCTAATGAGCTTGTAAATGGTTGGGAAAAAATAGCTGGTTATTTTTTAACGGAAAAAGTAATATATGTACATACACAAAAACTTCAAACACTGTGAAGCGTATCCACAGTTATTAAATCTCCATCATCTCAGACTCCTACTCTTCCAGTTTTGTTCTCTAGCGACAATTTCTATTACTAATATCACATGGAAAGCCCCAGAGTGTTCTGCGCTCATACAAGTGCATCAGGTTCCCTTTAACATCAAGTCTATTACAAGGACACAATGTTCTCGTCTTACTCTTTTTCACATAGGCTTGAATATTGGTACCCAGGACATGTCTCTATCATTATTTCTTTCTGGAGTTGTATTTCATTTCATTAACTTGCCAGAATATATTTAACTTGCCTGCATTTTCCCATTATATTATAAGTAATTCTCAGTCCCATCAGGGTCTCTGGAGATATCAGCTGAGTCAAAATTCTATGTTAGATATTTTCAACTGGTTCCTAAAATGATCTCACCTAACCAGTGTTCCTGATGAAAGAGAGAGAGGTTCAAAAGTTGACCACCAGATTCAAAGAAGCATCTGATGCTAATTTTCTCATAGTCAGGTCTGTATTGCCTTGCAGGCCTTGGAGTCCAGAATGAGGTAGATCTACTGCTGGATAATAGCTTGAGTAGATTATTTGAACACAAAAGAATGGCACTAGAAAACAAAATCAGTTATGGGTTGTTCTCTGGGATAAATATTTATGATAAGTGATCTACAAATATTACTCTTGAAAACAATATTTTAAAATTTCAAGTTGCCACCTATTCAGTAGGTCATATTATTTAGTGAGTCCTAACCAGGGCATTTTAAATAGAAAACAATCAAAGTAAATCGTATTTTGCATTCTGTAAAATTTAATCTAACAATACAGACACATGTACAGAAATGCAAACACAGAAGCATGAATCATCAGGACATCATGTACACTGTCTCCTTACAGTTGGCTGCAGTCAACACAGTGTGACAGCTGCTGCTTTAGAAAAGCATTAGAAAAGAACCATTATTAATAATAATCCCTTTATCTTGGCTTTTCACGTCCCCCTTTCTTTCCTGAGTTTTTCCCCCCTCCATTTTTACTGTGGTGATTAAAAGTTAGCAATGGTGTGTGTGTGTGTATGTATGTGTGTGTGTGTGTATGTGTGTGTGTGTGTGTGTGTGTATCTGTGTAATGGGGAAGGAGGCTGTAGGGGACATTTTCTGCATTTATTTGTGCCATAGCCAACGAGTCAGGGACTACGGTTATGGTGAGTTTGTGGGAATTTACAATTTTCTGGTAGCATGGGATACTCCACACATGACTGAAACCACAAGATCTGAAAGTTAGCTCTGAGGGGTCGCATTGTGTTCCCCACCTGACCCACGACACAAACTGGGAGATGCACCCAGGCGCTCTTTCCTTTTTCCTTATCAAATCTCTTTCACAGGGAAAGCTACCTTGTAGAGAACCATGGCTCACTATCACAATGTGTTATGCATTATTAACTCGATTGGAATTTCCCAGAAGTCAAGCCGACCTTAAGGTTTTTATTTGAAGTTTTGCAAAAGGTTAGACTAAAATAACTAAGGTCAATTTTCCTTTCCCTGAAAGGAGCAGTAACAGAATGGAAGTGCTCAGTCAGAGATGAAAATAACAATGTATTCTCACAGTGATCCATTCATTGCTGCTTGGAAGCAAATCCTCTAGAGAATGGACAAGTCAACAGAGTGTTCTCAACTCTCTCCTCTGATCTAGGGTTCAGATGCTAAAAGGAAAAAGGAAGAGACTCAATTCCTATAGGGCACCCGGGTTATTCATAAAAATAGTGTAAAGTCTAAAGATCACCAATCACGTTGACTTAATATATTTCTACCAATTTTCACTGTCTCAAATGCAGCATGAAACTTTGAATTTGCTGAGTGCATTATTATTAGTTACTTTCATTATTTCGGGATTTGCCATTGGCTCCTGCCACCCTCCCACTCACTCTTGCTCTTTCCCTCCTTTTCCTCACTAACATACTCTTCTCTGGAGAGATGATGAAAGTTTTGTGGGGGAGAATTTCATTCTCAGGCATCTGAATGTGTGACGCTCCCAGAAAAATCCCTATCCAGGGACTGTGAGCTTTGTCCTTGAGTTTACGTCACTGGCTTTTTATTTGTTCCCCAGAGTTGGGTCTCAACCATGCCTATCTTCTTAGTTTCCCCAGTTGAAGCCACTATATCCCCTGGCTATTCTAACTCCCTGGTGGCATTTTGGTTAAGTACTGGAACACTGACCACAAAGTCAGTAGTTCAAACCCAGAAACCCAGATACTTTGAGAGGGAAAGGTGAGAATTTCTGGTCTCTTAACAGAAATCCTAGGGAACCGTTCTACTCTGCCCAATGTATTAAGTGTTGTCTGGTCGGTTCCGACTCACAGCAACTCTATGTACATAAAAATGAAACACTGCTTGGTCCTGCACCATCCTCACAATTGTTCTTATGTGTGAGCCCATTGTTGCAGCCACTGTGCCAATCTATCTTGTCAAGGGTCTTCCTTACACTTTACCAAGCATGCTGTCCTTTCCCAGGGACTATGCATCAGTATTGACTGGATAGCAATGGGTTTTTACTGCGTTCTTTCTCCAGGGATCCCTGCTGATGCTCTGGGTTAATTATTGGGCTACTAATCACCAAGTCTGGAGTTCAAACCCAGCAGCCACTCTGAGGGAGAAAAATGAAGCTATTTGTCCCCATAAAGATTTATTGTCTCAGAATCCCTCTATAGAGTTAAAACATACCCGATGATAGTGGGTGGTCATTCAAATCTTAACAAAGTCTGGTGGTCAAGTGTTCACTTGGTAACCCAAAGATCAGCAGTTCAAACTGATCTAGGGCCATCTGCTCCCACAAAGATTCACAACCTTGGAAACCCTATGGGGTAGGGTTTATTTGTGCCATAGCCAACGAGTCAGGGGCTCTGTC